ATATATATATATATATATATATATATGTATCTATCTATAACAGTGGGAATGTCTGGTCTCATTACTGATTTCTGTTTCTAAGATTTGTATTCTGATATAGAAGTTCAGTATTTGCGTTAGAAAACCTTAATTATATTTTGTGTATTTGCCCCGTGTACGACCTCAATGCATGTCTAAGTACATCCAAATGTAAGGGTCTGATTTTTAAAGTATCAATTTTTTTTTCGTTTTAGTCAGTCAGCTTTATTCAGATTTAACATCATTAAATACAATCTCCTAGTGCTGTCTCATTTAAATTTCATCGAAAGTATCGTGTGTGCAGGCGGTCGCGACCGCGTGCATCTACTCTTAGTAAATTCTCGCTTGCACTTACAAATCAAAAATGCTCAGTTAGTCTAAGGAACATGTTCAGGAATTAATTTCACGTATTGTTGATTCATGTCTCAATTGTTAAAGCATATATGCCGCGTTTGCATTTTCCAGGTTGCATAGTCATTTTTGTTTATGTAAAAATTGCTAAGAGCACTATTTCTCTTACTATTCATTGTTCACACACCAGAAGGCATCGTAGTCGCAGGTACAATTCATTCTCGTGGCCAGCACGCATGCGTATATGGGTAAGACTACGCTATATCACATAGAATTTTATGAAGTTCTGGATTGTTTTTTTTTTTTTCTTTTCTAAATACAGATTAGAATGGGGTTTGCAGGTTATGTCAATAACTCAAGACACTTTATTTGTTTCTCTGTGCTAGGAAAATACATGTATTTTGCAGTACCTCAATGGTATGACTGACTTTCGATCAACCATCAGACAGCAAGTAAACCAGAACTAGGATAATAGCTATGTTGATGTTTGAATAAGAGTAGTTTAACCAGTAGGTGAGTATTGACGCGTTTAACTCGCTCCTTACACATTTTAAATACAAAATGAAAGACAGTTGATGTTTATTTTCTTTCTTGTAACGCCTTATAAGCAAAGATATTTTTCTTTCTTAAATAATAATAATAATAATAATAATAAATATTATTATTATTATTGTTGTTGTTATTATCATCACTATCTCTTATTATCATCACTATCTCCACTATCATCTTCACCATCAATATCACTCATTGTTCTCATCATAATCATCAATAACATTGCCATCATCAGTATCATCTTCATCTTTACTATCATCATCGTATAACCATCATATCATCATTAAGAGTAGTAGTAGTAGTAAAAGTAGTACTATAGAGTATCTTAACTATATGATATTATTAGAATAAGTACTACTCTGTATGCTTATTATTAGTAATATTAGCAACAGATGTCTTTGTGTAAACAAACATGTTATCCCTACGTCATGCATTATATCCAAAAAGAGAGCTTAAAAAATAGTCACATCGACCTGCTGATGAACCATTATTTTCAATTTCTATCAACCGCTTCCAACCAAATTACTTGTAATCCATTTGCAGACAAAATCCTTCCGTTGTTACTGATATCCAACATAGGACTACACTATGCTTCCTTCCTGCATTTCGTTATTAAGAACATTAGGCCTAAAGCTGACATTGTTATTTGTAGCGTTATCGGTTTTGTTTCTGTAATGCTTTGTTTTTCTTTCGTTCTTGGTGATGGCATGCATATAGGCATACGTTTCCGTTACCGTATGTTGTGTGTACTCATTTAATAATAACATGGATAAACTTAGATCCTGTATGAATTCAGTGACGTAACACACATGAGCTGCCCCTGACTCAAGCCAGGGCATCGAACCCCTTAAGGTCCATGGGTATGCTATGCTTCCCCAGCTCCCAGAGTATTAGGTTCCTAATACTTAGCCATGTGCCTCAAGCCTTTTCGTTACAGTATTTGGTATTTTATTTTTGTTATTTGTTATTTATTAGCGCCTTTTCATTTACGAAGCTTTGAATTTTTTTCACTGATCAATGGGTACACATTCTTAAAGGAGAAGTTTACCAATTTTATAAAATTTAAGAATTGATTTAGCATAATCAGTTTCATGATATCAATATTTTGAAATTACTAATCTCTGGCGCGTTCGTTACGTAGACGCTCTCAACCAAACTTATGATGACGTACGAGGTGCATCTTTCCATTCAAGTTTAGCGACAGGCCATTGTAATGCATTGGATTACGATGGTTCTATACGATTTATTTGTAGTTGCTCTTTCATAATTTTGATAAAAATATAGGCCTATCAAGCTATCACAAATCAATATTACGAGATAATTTTTTGAAATTATCAAGGGTTTTCGTTTATAGACTCCCTAAATGAGTGTTTATTAAACGAAGACTTGAAAAAAGACCTTCATTTTTTCTTAATTATCTTTTTGAAAATATGTCGAAATCATCATAAAGTCCCTCTTTCATCATTTACACGAAAATAAAATAAAGAACATCAAGAAATAACGTTGAGTTGGTTTTCATGTTCATTTTTTTACTTAATTTAGTATGATTTTTATTTTTAATGTTCATGTACTTTTTACTACTTTATACTTTATCACTTCTCTCATTATGGCAATGATAGAAAGCCGTACGTTTTTTTTTCAAATATCAAGTCTATTTTGTAGTTGTTTTTGTTGTTTATTATCATAATATTCTTTTGCATTTTTGATGTAACTATTGTCAGTTCTAATGATGTCTTGTCGGCTTAAATCATGGTACTAATATACTACCCGTCCTCTAAAGAAATATCATTGATTGTATGCGGTGCTGGCGCAAGGACCAATTCAATTACAAGAAGAAATCTGAGGTCATTGTGTAAATTATAAGAAAATAAAATGGTGGTAATTAGCGGCGTATAGGCCTATAGAGGTGCCCTCAAAAGAAATAAGCTCGCCCCAGTCCTCCCTCCCCCATTGAAAATGTTTAAAGCCAAAAAAAGCCACAAAAAAAAAACACTCAGTGTCAAGCTCCCCTCACTCTCATTCGCCCCAACCACCCCCTCCCATTTCAAGACTCCTAGATACGGCACAGGGGGTAATATTTATTTATTTATTTATTACATATTCGACATACAAATGCCCAATAGGAAACCACGGGCCCAACACAAAATTAGGTGAAAACCTCTGGTGTTTAATGGTGTTCAGAAATAACTTACGTTTATCACGTTTCCGTTGTGACTTTCCAGAGGTTCTTTCTGGACTACCACAGCTATATTTGGGGTTCCGGCCCGTTGCCACCCGGGCCCGTTGCCACCCGGCCTTTTGCCACCTTAGGCCCCTTGCCACCCGGGCTTTTGCCACCCTAGGCCCGTTGCCACCCGGCCTTTAGCCACCCGGCCTTTTGCCACCCTAGGCCCGTTGCCACTCAGGCCTTTTGGCACCCAGGCCTTTTGCCACCCTAGGCCCGTTGCCACTCAGGCCTTTTGGCACCCAGGCCTTTTGCCACCCGGCCTTTTGCCACCCGGCCTTTTGCCACCCGACCCGTTGCCACCCTAGGCCCGTTGCCACCCAGGCCCGTTGCCACCTGGCCTTTTGCCACCTTTGGGAATGTCGAATATTCCTATATTTATATTATTTTGGTGGGTTTTTTTTACAGAGATTTGTACTAGTAAGTAGGCCTACTGTAGCAGAATTTTTTCTTGATTAAATTTGCTTTTCAGTTTAATATTTAATTATTAGTTTACTGTATTTTATTTCAAACAATCGTCCATGCGCATTCTCACCACCAGGAGAAAATTGCAGAAATGAACATTGTTATAAATCCGCATAAAGAGAGAAATACTGCAGTGTCTAGTTTATTTCTATATTTTATTTTTAAGTATATTCTTATTCTAAAATAGAAAGAAATAGCCTGTGCTTTTACACTTAAAAAACAACACATTTATGATAATAATAGTTTATTTATATAGTATAATTAACTTTATGGAATTTATTTGGTATTTCGGACAATTTATTACAGGCATATATATTTTCTCATGAGAAATAACCGTCAATGATAAACTTTGGATAAAGCCCTTCTCGTTCGGTAAACTACAAAGGATATTGCGCTCAGTAACATTAACGATCTGAGCAAACTAATCCTCCTAATTGTTTAAACCGTGACTAGGGCTATTGTTCAGATTATAGGGTCTTCAAGCCAATTTGCATGGAATTCGATCCAACTCGGCCACAAGTCAACTCGGCCACAAGTCAACTCGGCCACAAGTCAACTCGGCCACATAAAGTTCGGCTACAGTCAACTCGGCCACAAGTCAACTCGGCCACAAGTCAACTCGGCCACAAGTCAACTCGGCCACAAATCAACTTGGCCACAAGTCAACTCGGCCACAAGTCAACTGCAGCCTACTTACTGGTACTACACTTTGAAGGAGTAATTCATGAAGTACCGTATAAAATACTAATTCTTTAAGTATTGTTATTGTTGTCATTGTTGTTATTATTATTGTTGTTTTTATTACCGTTAGTTTTAGTTATTATTAGTCTTAGCATTAACATTATTTAGGCTATTGTTTAAAATTTTGCTGATATTATTATTGTTACCATATAAATAATAATAATAATTATTATTATTATTGTATACTTATATAGCGCATATCAAACTTCTCTATGCGCTGAACATTATTACCCCGGATCACTGGATCAAGCACATATGGAACACACACTCAAGCCCCATAGGGGAATTCC